TGCTGCTACTGTCTGTTGTCATTAATATACGATAATTTATTCTCACGTACTTTGTATTTAGTTTATGAAATTCTGTGCTTTCAATAAAACTCGTATACCTAGAGTTATTAATTTCTCATTTTATCCGGCCCGTTGAAAATGCTGAATTACCTAATGTGGCCCGCGGTTCGAAAAGTTTGGAGACCCCTGATCTAGACAACCATCTAACCTGGAAGGAACACATTACTAAAAAACGCAAACAGATTGATTTAAAAATCAAGGATATGCATTGTTTAATTGGAAGTAATTCCAAACTCTCATTAGACAAGAAAATCTTACTTTACAAAATAATAATAAAACCAGTTTCGGTATATGGAGTGGAAATATGGGGATGTGCTAGCAAAACCAACATTTCCATAATCCAAAGACGTCAGTCAAAGATACTACGTATGATTACTAACGCCCCATGGTATGTTTCCAATATAACACTCCATGAAGACCTGAAAGTGCCGCTAGTGAAGGAAGTCATAAAAGGGAAAAGCACAAGATACCTCAACAAAACAGAAGGACATGAGAACGTACTAATGCAACCGCTACTGGAACCGCACAATGTACAAGCCTAGAAAGGAACTGGCCAGCCGACCCGAGAGAGGGTTAGCGAGGACTTATCTCCGGATAAGCCCTATCCACGTCACGAAGAATACTACAGTTAATTAGCTTATAGAATCAAACGTAATTCTGACTGCTAATATTATGTAAAAAAAATTCTTTGTTATGTTCTTCTTCTATGTTCATGCACTCTGCAGTACGAGTATTATGCTATTACAGTGACTGGTATCTAATCTTCGCTATTTTAGTTGGCTTATCCCTTTATTAATCCTTTAGATTCCAATGGCTACTATATGTACCACTTGCTTTAATATGCTAAAAGTCTGCGTTCTGTCCACAGAGTGTATTTACGTGTTTCTTCTAGTTATCACAATAAGCAGCGATTTAGCATTAACTGGGTGTTCTCTGCAGCGGAGATGTGATAGTTCCTGTCAAGTAAGAACTGAATTTGTATACATTCTGTAGCAGTATGTCGGTCTCTAAAGGCTCTTAGACTCAGTCAAAGCCGTGAGACAAAAATATGGTCATGAGTCCCGTGGGTTCCGGCGCCAATAATGTCTGTGCTGCCGAAATCCAGATCAGTCTTTAAATGATTAATTACAATTAATCATTCTGTGTAATACCACATACTTGTGCAGTTCTAATATGTAAAGTGCTGTGCATATTCAAGGCCTTTCAGGCGACTGCTTCTCTGTTTTAAGTACGAAACGTACGTCGATTGTAGCGAGGTTTCCATACGGGTCAACATAGTCGTGACATCTGGCAGCGAATGCTGGTACTGCGTGAGGATCCACTGAGTGGCTCTCATACACGGGTTACCACTGTATATGTCGCAGTAGCTCAGCGTTCTCGTAACCGGTTAATGAACACAAGTGTACCATGTTTTATTATCGAGTCCAGCAAATCATTTAGGGTTT